TGTGCCTGGGCACCGGCTTCATGGCCCTCAGGTCTCTCTGAGATGACCTTGTTTCTTTCTCTGTCAATGGCTGGTCTTCCCCGACTAGTCCCCAGGGCCAGAGCTCAGCCTGCTGTGCTGAGGCCCGTCACTGCCTGGCAGTGGTGGGAGAATGACTATGAAAGAAGGCGTGAACCCTGGCCTGCAGCACCCCAAGTCCAGGCGGGCTCCTTCCCACCCTGGCCTGCACGCTGGGCCTGCTCGCGCACTGGGTGGTCGCCGAGGGGAGGACCCCATCTCCTCCCTCCAGAAGCTGCTCAGGACGGCTCAGCCCAGGGTAGCCTGTGCCTGATCAGAGCCCCCCGCCCCGTCCCCCAACCCCTCCCCTGTAAATGGGGAGTTTGGGGGTCTCACCGGAACTCGGGCCTTCCACCCACGAGGCCGAAGGAGATGAAGTCAGGCTGCCTGTTGGCCAGGCTGGTGGGGCTCCCCGGAACCCGCTTCTGCCCGTTGTACAGCAGCATTCCTGGCAGGCACAGCATGTAAGGAGCCCCGTCCCAGGATGGGCACCCCGTCTGCCCCCACCCAGGAGTGGCCTGAGCACATGAGCGTTTCCTGTTCCCGGTACACCTCACCCGAGAGGGCACATGGGAGATCACCCAAAGGAAGAGAGGGAGGCAGACTCACCCGAGTAGAGAAGGAGGCCTGGACAGTGAAAGCCAGAGACCCGCAAGAGATGAGCGAGAGAGAGAGAGAGACAGAGAGGAAGCCCGGGTAAGAGGTGGGAGCAAAGGCGGGCGGGAAGGAGCAGGCAGGAGAGGAGGCGGCACAGGAGAATGGAGGCTGACGTGCCAATGTCCGACGGGCCATGGCAGGGCTGGAAAGGCACAGAGGCAGGGCAGGGGGACAGAGGGACAGAGGGACAGAGGAGGCACAAGACGGCCCAGAAGCCTGGCAGGACCGGGGTCTGCCGGTCATACCACGGTGGCACCACTCCACAGCCCCCCACCGCAGGCAGCTCCCTCGCTCCGCCCACTCGCTCACCGTCGGCTGAGTCGGGCCGGAAGGTGATCCTGATCTCAAACTTCCTGTAGGCATCCTTGATGGTGGGCAGCGGCAGGAAGGAGTGGGGGGTCTGCGTGAAGTAGGGCACCACCCGCTCTGTTCGCAGAGAGCTCAGTTAGAGACGAGGCCCACCGGGGCGCGGGCGGGCACTGCCGAGTCCAGGCCGGGGTGCGGTCTTACCTGGCACCTGCAGGTGGGCAAAGGCTTTGACCTTGCCCTGCCGGTTGGTCGCAGTGCAGACGTAGGTGCCCGCGTCCTGGGGGCGCACTGAGGGCAGCATCAGCATGTTGTTCTCCAGGCGGCTGTCGGGCGGCAGGCTGCCATCCAGCTGCGAGCAGGCTGTCCGTGAGGGCCCAGGCTCGCCCTCGCCTCACCCCCCATGGCCCGCCTCCTGCTGTGTGTGTACTCTGCCACGCCCCTGCCAGGTCCTGGGGCATCGAGGCAGTTCACCTCCCAGGCCCCGCCAGATTTACCTTGCTCCAGGTAATGTCTGGAGTCGGGTAGCCGGAGGCCATGCAGGGGAAGACGGCTGCGGACCCGGCAGGCACTCGGACCTCCGGGGGTGTGGAGATCTGGGGCAAGGCTGAGGGGGAAGAGGACACGGGCCATCAGCACGACGGCCACCTTTGTGTGCCAGCCTGTGCATGACGCGTTTAGTCTCACATCCCCCGGAAGGGAGGCCCTGGGCCATTTCACGGAGGAGGAGACGGGCTCAGAGGGGACTGGCGGCTACACTCCTGGTCGCACAGAGGGAGCTGGGAACAATCAAGGTTCGGGGCAGGTCCATTCCGGCCCAAGACCCCGTCAGGAAGCCTGTGAAGAAAACTGCAGTCCTTGGGGCCAGCGGGTGGCGTGGCGGTTACGGTACTGGACTCTCACATGGTCAACCACAGTTCGAGTCCTGAACCTGGTGGCTTGAAACTCACTCCAGGTGCGTGTGTGCGTGTGTGTGTGTGTGTGTGTGCTCAAACTCCCAGAGGAGAATGCAGGAGAAAGGACTGCTGTGTGGCCGTGCCCCCTGGGGGGGGTGATTTCTCAGTTTCTCAGAAAGAGTTTCTGTCTCGGGAACCAGCAGTTAGCATAATGGCTATGTTGCTGGACTCCCATGTGGTCGACCGTGGTTTGCGTCCCGGATCTGGTGGCTTAAAACTCACGCCGGGCGTGTGTGTGTGTGTGCCCAAGATCCCGAGAGGAGAATGGAGGAGAAGGGACTGTGGTGTGACCATCCCCCCGGGGGGTGATTTCTCGCTTTCTGTCTCTCTGTCTCTGTCTGTCTGGCGAGTGCACGTGCCCTATAGCAAAAACCTCTCCAAAAAAAAAAAGAAAAAAGAAAAAGAAAGAGTTTCTGTCTCTCTCCAGGGAGTACACAAGCCCTAAGGCAGAAACTTAAACAAATAAATAAATAAACCGCAGTGTTTTGGGAACCTAAGAGGGGAGTACTAGGACAGTGTGGGTAGGTAGGTTTGGGGACAAGTCATAATGTTTGGGGTAAAAGAAGTTATTTTAAAGAAAACAGTATTTGTGGGCTAGCCTGTGCCTGATGGTTAAAGAGCTGGATCCCAGAATGCCGATCACGCATTCAAGTCCTAGACCCGGAAGTTTGAAAAACATGCTGGACACGCGGGTGTGCGTGCCAAAACTCCCAAAGGGAGGGCGAGGTGGAGGAGAAGGGATTCCGGCGTGATATTCCCCAGGGGTGCCTTCTCACTTTCCCACTCTCTCTCTGACTCTCCAGCAAGCACAAATTAAAACAATGAAAAAGCAGCATTTGTGTCCGCCCTGCATCCGTGTCCCCGGCCTACGTCCCACTATGTCTGTTCGGGGTTGGTGTCGTGTCTGCCAACGGGCTGGGCTGTAGGCCTCTCCCATCAGAGCAGGTGCCCTTACAGGTGGGAACTCCTTATCTCTGCCCGCCTCGTGCCCTGCGGACTGTCCTCTCCCTGTAACAATGGCCTGCTCCAAAGGAAGCTTCTCTCCTGCCACTTGTTACGAAAGCGGCCACTCACGACAGAACATCCTCCAAGAGAGTGGGAAGCCAGGGACAGCAGGCAAGGCAGGAGGCGGCAGCACACGGAGCCCCGGCCCTGCTCCCCCCCCCACGTCCCTGCCGGCTTCACCTTGCACGAGCAGCAGCACGTGGGACTGCGTGGTGCCGGCGGCGTTGGTGGCGGTGCAGCGGTACTGGCCCGCGTCCGAGAGCTCCACGTGGGCGATCCTGATGATGCTCCCGGTCTGCACGATGCCCGGCCGCAGGCGCCCCCCGACTTTGCTCCACGTCACCTGAGGCTTGGGGTCACCCAGCGCGAGGCACTCGAACTCCACGGCGTGGCCGACAACCACAGTCTGGACGGAGGTCCGGATGTTGATGAGCACCGAGGGCAGGGCTGGGGAGGGAGGCCAAGGTTAAGAGAGGCCAGCCACGGGCAGGCTTGGCCACGGGCAGGCTTGGCCCGAGGGAGGCTGCAGACCGTGGGGGGGGGGGGGGGAGGGGGGTGGGGGGGGGGGCCGGGGGCG